TAATCTCTTCTTGTCTCAATACATAAATCACGTAATTATAGTGTTTAGAAATGTTTTCTAGCTCTTTGATAAACTATAAAGACTATCAATCTATTAGAACCCCTACAAAATTCTATCTTATCTCTCTGATTTTTTTTTCACTCTAAAAATAACCTCTCCCTAAAACACCTTAAATACGACACAACTCCTTAAACGAAACACCTAACATTTTTCTAGAACGCCTCACATTTTCCCTCAAATATCTCGTGTTTAAGAAAAATTCAAAATACTTCAAAACAAGTTAGAACGCCTCACTTTCAATTTTAAATGCCACATATTTGTGGCATAATTGAATTGAACGAAAAATGATGATTTTTTAAATTTTTTTTAAGAAACACTCCATAAATATCCACATTTTATAAGAAATTGATGATGATAATAATTTATCAATCAATCACCTTGCTACTTCTCTCCAAACTTGAATTAGTCTTTAAAAAAATTGATCAAGCCCAAGAAATGTTTGAGTCTTGATGTATGTAATGACTTGGTGAACAAAATTTTCAGAGTTTCTTCTGAAGCAACTCTCTCAATCACAATCTCCTCCAACTCAATCATGCCTCTAATGAATTGCAAGTGAATATAGTTGTGATTTGTCCTCTCATGATACACTTGATGAGAATCCAGATAGATTGCCCTTTGAATATATAAATGTATCTTCTCACATGCCTGAGTGACCACTAACTCCTCAGTTATACCTATTAATCACATGGCTTCTTAATCTTTTCAACTAGTAAAGTATAATATATTTGAGTAATAGATAAAGAGACTGTCATTTGCTAATTTTCTTTGCAACTTATAGTCGTTCTAAACAAAGTAAACACAAAACCTTTTAAGGATGTCCTAAAATACACATTCCCCATATAATATGCATCCATTTGTCCCGTCAAAGTGTTTTTCCCTTTAGTTTCACCTTTGTGTACTTAAAACCACACTTCAAAGGAACATTTAAATACTTTAGCATCCAATTTAGAGATTCTTAAAGAACTAGGCTCAAAAATACCATACAAGATGCTTCCAACTCCACTTGCACGGGGAGTACTTTCCATCATATTATTGTAATCTTCTATTTGAGAAAATTGCATAACTGAAAGCTTGGTGTGATGACTCAAAGGAGTGTTGAAGGTTTTGACATTAAACATAATAAATCACTTCATCACCTTCTTCAAGTAACTAAATTAAGATAAAAATAGTTAAGTCACTTTATGGTTTCTCTTAATATTCATCCTTATGATGCTCTTAGCTTCACCAAGATGTTTCATATCAAATTCTCCATTGAAATTTTACTTGAACTTACTGATCTCATCACTGATAGAGTTTACCATCAAGATATCATCAACATATAAAAGTAGGCAGATAATAAATTCCAAATTCCTCTTAAATATGTATACATGCCTATCATAAACATTTTTTACAAAACCATTCTTAAGAAGAAATTTATCAAACCGATTATACCACCATCTAGTGTTTTGCTTCAACTTATACAAAGATTTATTCAAAATAAATACATTAGAATTGTCCTCTACAAATCCTTTAGGTTGCTTCATGTAGATTTTATCTTCAAATTCTCCATGTAAGAAAGTAATTTTGATATCTGTTTGTTCCAATCAAGATTATATTGATTTACAATAGTCATAAATACACTTATAAAGCAATGTTTTATCACATGTGAAAATATTTCACTATAATTCTTCTATTTCAGAATCAGAAATTGATGCAGTTAGTAGGATAATGATCTTCAATTGGTGGCGATGATCCCTGCCACAATGGTGTGGGTTGGACATGTGAGGTTAGAACTCTAACGCCTAACCCAATTCAAGATTTAGGATGAGTATAGTAAAAAGTGGAGATCAAATAATGTACCTTGACTTTAGTGTGAATTGACTTTATACCTTGGTAAAATGGAGTGAGTTTGAGGAGAATTGAGCCTCACTTGTTTGAGACTTTGACCGCCCAGAACACTTGCGCTCAAGACTTTTCCGAGTACTGAGAGAGTCGAGGAAGCCTTTAGTGATTTTGGTCATCCTCTAGGGTATGGTCCAATGTGAGTTGAGACTAAAAATCTTAGAGTCAGTTGAAAAAGTAGTTAGGAACAAGCAAATTAAATGTAATTTTGTTATTGAAATATTTTGTTGCTTCCTTCTGACATGCGGGGTAACGTGGAAAGTTAAGGCATGGTGCGACTTATAGTTTATTCAAGTTTTCATGCCATTCATTGATCTCGTAACTCCTTTACTTCACTAATCTTGGTCCTTCAATTACTTTCACTATAAATAGGAGGAATTGGTCATTGAGGAAACTCATGCAACCCTTAGCATTTAAGTTCATTCATAGTCTTTTTAATGGTAAACGCCTTTATCTCTTCATTCCTAAGAGAATTTATTAAATTGCTCTTAGTTCTTTGGCGAAAGTCATTTCCTTTCTCCATTACTACCCTCCCTCAACCTCGTATTCACAAGGTACCTTTTTCAATTCAAACTTTTTCTTTTAGCATTACCTATTTTCTAGGCAAGATGAGTGATAGTATTGTTAACCTAGTGAATGGCTCTGAGAGCGATATATTTTCTTCTAATAGAATGGGGATGTCCCATGATTCTCGTATTCCTCCCCTTAATTTTGACCACATAGGTCAAGAGGTTATTTCGCTATCTGACGACTCTGACTTGAAAAAGGGCATCTAGAAATTCACTTGATGAAGAAGCTTCTTCATTCGAATCATTTGAAGCCCTTTTATCAGGTGACGAGGAAGAGAGGAATCGTACTGAGTTCCCCATGTCCCCTCTCGTTTTGACTGAGGAGGAAGTACACGTTATTAAGTGGATGAAGGAACACGCTGACGAATTTATCCAAATTTACCTGAAAATCAATAATTAGGAACTCAGAGATGCATAAGTGAAGACCCACCTGAAGTATCAGGGTAAATTTGATGTAGTTTCTTGGATCATGCCTGGTATTCATTCTAAGGTCGACCACTTGGCCCGGAGAAGCGTGACATTGGTGGAGCCAGCTGAAGGAGTGAAGTACGACTGGGTGCATGCAGAATTAGTGGGTACTTCATTTGTCCTGAGTACTGAGGCAACAATAAAGGCTGCTAGGATCATAGTCAACGACCCTCAGGATTGATAAGTTCTTCTAGTGGACCTCAAGAAAAGGATATGAAACAATTTTGATGACTATGGGTCCCGTTTTACGGAGCCTATTTACAAGGATAGGATTGTGCCTACCTTTCTATGACTTTGAAGTGACTGTAATGAGGCATTCAAAGGTAGCACCTTCCTAGCTTCATCGTAGGTCATAGACTTACATGATGGTATTCCAGTTATGTGTAGAGCATAAGTCTTGGAAGTCTGCACTCGGGTTGTCTTTCAACTTATTCTTCCTGGTTCGCACTTCTCAAGACAACTACTGTGACCAAAGACTCATTAGTTTCCACCCAGACGATCCTTCGCTTTCCCACTTCACTCGAGACTGGGGCGATTTTCCAGGACGCTACTTGCCGGTGAAACCCCTTATGCTAGAGGCCCATCTTACCCCTAGCTACTCCCCTGTCGAATCTCTTCGCTTATGTAGGAGGAAATTCTTGAAGTACCCGTCTTCATCTCACTTTAATTGGGACGTCCATTCCTACCAAGTTGAGTCCTTCTTCCCTTGAAGTAGCTGTATTGAAGAAGTCCTTTTTAAAATAATATTAATTTTAAAATAAAGAAAAGTATAGGTTGTTTACTAATCTTCTTAATATTATTTAGTTAGTAAAATGATGTCATAACTTTTTTTGAAAAATCTTAGCTCTTATAAAATTGATATGATTTTTAAAAAACTATTTAAACGTTGTATCTCAAATTTTATATAATTATCTTTTTCATAATTTATTTTGATAAGTAACTTTTTCTAAACTTATTTTTAAAATCAAACGAGACTCCTAATATTTTAATTTAACCATTACAATAGTGATTAGTAATTCAAAAATTAACACAATTACATAGCTAATTTCTTGAATTATCATGAATTTTAAAATAATAAAATGATTGAAATTTCTAATATTAAGTATAATGATAACAAATTGAAAATTTTTTTTACGAAAATCTCATTTTATAGAATTTTAAAATATTATGCGTGATAGAAAAATATTTAATAAAACAATCTTTTTATAATTAATATATTAAAAATATTTTAATAACAATATAATCATTTTAATAAAATTATTTTAGATAAAAATCTCTTTTTATGAAGTACTTAGTGTGAAACTTCTCATAATATATATTAGTTCTCATAATATATTATATATTATACTAAATAATTAACATATAATAAACTCAAACTCTAACTAATTTAAACTTAAGTTACAGCTTAAATTATATCATAACTCTAACTAACTAAATTAGTATGATATTAATTGTTCGTAAAACATACGAAGGTTGAGGTGTGATAATGGGATAGATGCACGTTTTTCTTAACATAAAGCATTTATCTACTCATTTATCTACTCATTTACAAATTATATACAATAATTACACTTTAAACTATTTTCAATGTGTATAAAAGGTACTAAAAGTTCATATAAATAAAAGAAAATTTTACGTAAATGACCAAGATGATTATGTAATTATTTAATGTTAATAGTACCTTTTATACCATAATTACTAAAAAGTTCATACAATAGTTACAGTATAAATAATTTGAAACAAAGAAGTAACTTTTTTTTAATGTTAATAGTACTTAATAAAGACTAAATCCTTTTTCCTTGCATGGCAACAATTTTAGTCTCTTCGCACTATCCCGCAACTTTTCTCTAACGGGACCCACGAACCAGTGTTGAATATTATGATACGTACATTGAACGTTCATATGGTTGGGTGAATACATAGATTAGACAGTAGTAATAGTGAACATCAACAACAATCTTAAGCTATAAAATCCCACCATGCACATTGGTTCATAACACTCCAAACTAATATTAATCAACCATGTTAAGCTTCACTTCACAACAAATTCCCATTATTTGGCTTCTGCTACTATTGCTGCTATCTACAACAATATTTGAAAGGTGCAATAGCACGCAGTTTGGTAATTGTAATGAGAAGGATCGTTCTGCATTGCTCAACTTCAAACATGGTGTGGACAGTCCTTCCTCCAACAGGCTTTCCTCTTGGTCCATCAATGAAAAAGACTGTTGTTCATGGAAAGGAGTTCAATGTGACAACACCACTGGAAGTGTTACATCACTTGATCTTCACCAACAATACTTGGAAGGTGAAATCAACTTGCACTCTTTGTTTCAAATTCAATCTTTGAATTACTTGGACTTGAGCTTGAATGGCTTTACAACTCTAAGTAGTTTCAATGATTCAGATGATAATAATCACAACTTGTCTAATATTCAGTACCTAGACTTATCCTTCAATGATGATCTTCACTTGGATAACCTTAACTGGCTTTCCAAATTCTCTTCATTGAAATCTCTCAACCTCAGTCAAATTAACCTTCAAAATCAATCAAACTGGTTTCACACCATGGATATGCTGCATGGATCACTGTTAGAGCTGAGATTGTCAAGTTGTCACTTGACCAATATCTTTCCATCCATTGAGCATGTGAGTTTTACTAAATCGCTTGTAACCCTTGATCTCTCAGCAAACAATTTTGACTCTGAATTACCTGCTTGGCTGTTTGATCTCGCCAGCGATTCGAATATCTCTCATATTGACCTTAGCTTCAATGTTTTACAAGGCCAAATACCCGAGAGCTTGTTAAGTCTTAGAAAACTTGAATTTTTAAGGCTGAGTAACAATGAACTAAATGGATCTATTCCAGATTGGTTAGGGCAACATCAAAATTTAAAATATCTTAATCTAGCCGAGAACTTGTTTCACGGTTCTATCCCTCCATCTCTTGGAAATCTCTCTTCCTTGGTTGATTTAAGTGTCGGCTCCAATTTTCTGACGGGTAATATTCCACCCACCATTGGAAAACTCTTTAATTTGAAGAGTTTGTTCATTGGTGGAAATTCATTGTCAGGTGTTCTATCTGAAAAACATTTCTCCAATCTGTCTAACTTAGAAACACTTGTCTTGAGTGCACCTATTTCATTTGATATAGATTCTAAATGGATTCCTCCATTTCAATTGCAAGGGATAAGTTTAAGCAATACAATTCTAGGTCCTAAGTTTCCAGCATGGATATACACACAAAAGTCACTACAATATCTCGAGGTTCCTAACTCTAGATTATTATCCATAGATGGAGATGCATTTTGGAGATTTGTAGCTAATATTACACAGCTTAACCTCTCTAACAACAACATAAGTGCAGACTTATCGAATGTCACACTAAACTCGGAACTGATATTTATGGATCACAATAACTTCAGAGGAGGGCTCCCATATATATCAGCAAATGTCATCTATTTGGATTTGTCACACAATTCTTTCTTTGGAACCATTTCCCCTCTGTTTTGCCGCAAAATAGGTAGGGAAAACAGTTTGGATTATTTGGACATTTCGTCCAATCTTTTAACTGGAAAAATTCCTGATTGTTGGGAGTATTGGAAGGGCTTATCTTTCCTTTTCATGGAGAGTAATATGGTGACCGGTGAACTTCCTCCATCCATGGACTCCTTTATTGATCTCATAATATTGGATTTGCATAACAACAGCTTGTCTGGTAATTTTTCATTGGACCTGTCAAACTTAACAAATTTGGAATTCATTCATATTGGAGAAAACAATTTCTCTGGCACTGTACCGGTGAAGATGCCTCATGGTATGGAAGTGATGATATTAAGATCCAACCAGTTTGAAGGTAACGTTCCACCAGAGTTGTGCAATATCTCTTCACTGATACAATTGGATCTTTCACACAATAAACTTTCAGGGCCTATTCCCAAATGCATAAATAAAATCACTGGCATGGGCGGAGAAAAGAAAACAAGTCATTATCCATTTGAGTTCAATTTGTATGCAAAAGGGCAAGAGTTACAGTATTTAGACTATGGATTGTTGAGAACTCTTGACCTTTCAGGTAACAAGTTATCAGGTGAAATTCCCACACAAGTTTTCAGTCTAGTTCAACTCCAGACATTGAACTTGTCTCGAAATCATTTCACAGGAAAGATAGCAAAAGAGGTTGGAGACATGAAAAACTTGGAATCTCTTGATCTGTCCAACAATGAACTTATTGGAGAAATTCCTGCGACCATTTCAACTTTATCTTTCTTGAGCTTCTTGAATCTGTCAAACAATAACCTTGTTGGACAAATCCCAGTTGGCACCCAGCTTCTAACTTTTGATGTTTCCTGCTATGATGGGAATCCAGGACTCTGTGGAGCTCCCCTACCATTATGTTCCAACGAGCCAAACCCACCTGGAGAACACAATGATATTGACAAGGAGAATTCTTTTACTCAATCACTCTACTTTGGAATGGGTGTGGGATTTGCCGTTGGTTTATGGAGCATTTTTGGTTCTCTATACCTCAACAGGGCTTGGAGGCACACTTATTTTCGGTTCATTAATCATGTTTTGGGGTCTCCCGGCTGAGGTAAGTGAAAGTTGAGTTCTTTCTATGTCAATACATTTACTAAGGCCCTGGTTAGATTTACTTATTTGAGCTTATCTACTTTGCACTTAAAATTAAGACAGTACATAACTATAAAAAGTTACAACTAAATTAGTTAATTTAGAGCCACTTGATAGATAATATTAACATCTTCTGTGGTTGTTTTGTCAGGTTGGAGACAGAGTACATTCATAATTTGCTGGAAATATAGGAAGAAAGTTAAATGACACTAAAGTTTGGAGGAGACCTTTCTCATTTTACTGTGGCACGTATTTACGTTATGTATTGCTATATTATGTACTAGTGCATATTGTACTACTAGTCTATGATTTTATAAAAGCTACCGTAATAGAAACTGTTTCATTCCAATATTATTCATTTAATCATCCAAGGTTTCTCTACACCAAAATACATTTATGTTATAACAAAAAAGAAAAGAAAATTGAAGTTTACTTAAACCTCCAATATCAATAGCCTCGGTATAATACAATTAATCACGGTCGCCATTGTTTAACACAGAACACTGTGATGCTGGTCTAGATAATTCTTCACCTGCACTTGCCGGACACGTCATCAGCTTCGCCGGCGGCTTCATGCAGTTGTACAACAAACATAACGACGCCGTATCAGGCATCACCGTTCCTTTTTCCAACGGTATACCTGTGAAGTAGTTATGCTGAAGGTACAGTGTTCTGGTGCTTCCGCGGCACACGCTGTTAACGTACTCCTCAGGAACTCTCCCAATCAAACGATTATTATTTAAAAATAAGCTTTCAACTCCATCAAACACCGTGGATAATTCTCCACTAAGTGAGTTATGACTCAGATCAACTATGGATCCTTGACCATACGATGAGGATCCGATCGACGGTTCTCCATCGGTGGGCCTCTGAGGAAGTCCACCAGAGAGATTGTTGCGTTGTAGGAAGAGTGAAGAGAGCGTGGGCCTGAAGAAGAGTTGGGCTGGAATACGCCCAATGAATTGGTTCGTGCTGAGGTCGAGAAACTCTAACTCTGAAAGTGACTCTAATCCGTTGGTAAGTGGACCCCACATTCGGTTCTGTGATAACGATAGATAACGGAGAGATGACGGTATAGACGTTGGTAACGGTCCTGTGAGTTGGTTGTTCTTCAAGTCCAAATGAAGTAACGGCGAGGATACGTTTTCTGGTAAATAGCCGGTGAGGGAATTTGAAGCGAGGATTAGGATTCTGAGTTGCGGTAACTCGGTGAGACCCGGTGGGATTGACCCGGCGAGTTGGTTATGACTGAGGTCGAGTGTGTGGAGATTTCTAAGAAACGACAATGCGGAGGGTATGGTCCCGGTGAAGCGGTTGTTAGGCAATGAGATCACTCGGAGTTTGGTGAGTTGAGCGAGTTGGGGAGGGATGGAACTGGTGACGATACCGGGGAAGAGGATGAGCTGTGTTAGCTCAGTGAGTGAGGAGATGGATGCGGGGAGTGATCCAGCGAGTTGGAGTGAGTCGGTGCCGAGTGAAAGAATGGTGACTCGGTTGAAGTAGCAAGTGACCCCGGAGAATGAGGAGCAGGGATTTCGTGCGGTGAGGTTCCATGTGGAGAAGAAGGAGCTGGTGCGTGAGATTTCAGTAAGAGTGGTTTTGATAGAAAGAAGAGCTTTGAGATCCAACGGATTCATATTTGAATTGTAAAATTCTTGAGAATGAACAAAAGGGGGTGTGAAAAGTAGAACCAGTAAAAGAACAAGAGCAACCTTAAAAGTTGCCATTCAAACAACGTGTGAGAAATGAAAGTGCGTGTATGTTGGAAGCAGGAGCTTTTGGTGAAGAAAGTGCAGATCTTTCAGGAAAATGACAGTACATAGATTTGGGATTAGTTTTTGTTAGGGGTTTTGTATTTTGGTGATGTGGATGACAAGTGGGAAGAGTGAGGGGGTTCTTAAAATAAAAGGAGGGTGTGGTTGTGAATACAATTGCAAGAGGCTCTCATTGCTCATGCATTTTGACTGACAGAGTTGCGTAACTGTGGTGGGTCCCATTCTCGAGATTTTTGCAGAGGAATTTAACATGATGCATTTGCATTGCATTAATGAACAAACAGATGCTACCTTCAACGTCTCTAGATTTTTTTAGTTATAGGGACATAATGGTTTCAGATCTTGCCCTGCTGCTTCAATTACTTGTTCACCAAAATAGATAACAGTAGTTAATGTTATGTTTGATCATTTACACGAATAATCCGTACAATTTGACCCGTTTCTAATAGTTAGTTACAAGTATGATAGAATCAAATAAATAACCACCTGTTGCTTCTGTCTTATGTTAAGTGTTGTAAATTATTTTAGGGGTTCCTTAATTTAATGGTGATTAATGTTAGATTTAGTAGAGAGAATTACGGTTCAATTTCACAATTTCTATTGGTAGAGAGTTAAAATCATTTAATGCCAAAATTAACTATCAAATCAAATTAGTAGGTTAGGCCGGATATTAGATTTTGGCGGTGAAAACAAAAAAATAAATTGTTTTAGATTAGGTTAGAAAATTACTTCGTCCGTGACAATTGTTGCGTTGCGTTTTGGTATCATGCACAACAATGTAAATGCCGCAGACATTTTCCAACCGCAAAAGAGGGTAAATTGAGAAATTGTGTCAAGTTAGGCCTAATGTAAAGGTTATGAGCCTCAACTTTTGGGTTAGAATTCTCCCATCACTCCTAGTCGACCTTACATCGGTTCTTTGGCTGGTTTAATGTTTTCGGAAATTGCAGTACCAGAGGTAGGGCCTATATGGTAAAGGAGTTTTGAGAATTTGAAGTTTACCGAATTAACAATATTATTCTATTCAGTTTAAATTGATTTTGTTTTTTGAATAATTTATCTTCAAATGAGGTTCATACTCACTTAAACTCAATCATAAATAATTTCATGCAATATTGCAATGTAATAACCAATGTTTTAAAAATTAAATTGGAAGTCGAAATTAAATTCGATCATATTAATCTTTAAACGGCTAATAGATTAAAATTAGAGTAAATTAAAAAAAAAATCAAATTAAACTATTCGAATCAAAGAACCGTGGTCGGTTTTGTAAAACGTCTCATTCAAAAAAGTCTAAAATCAATTTTTTTAATTTTTTTAAAAAATTTAATATGTCAATATTAAAAATTTAAATAATCTTCAATTAAAAAAAAATTTACTTATGATCGTTTAACTTTAATTTATTGTTCAATTAAGTTTGTTGGATTGTAATATTTGTAATTTTATCTTACTTAATTTAGATATTCTTAATTAGTTAAATTTTATTTTAATTATTATACTTTATTATTATCAATTTGTAATTTTAGTTTGAATTAGGTTAATTTATTTTATTTTAATTTTTTTCATGTGTTTATATTATTCTTAAATGAATGTTAAAATTAAGTGCACGATTATGGGTGTGTTATTATATGTATTATTGGTATTATTATATTGAGTTTGTAATAGATTTTTAAAATATTTATTTTAAAATATTTAATTTTATATTATTAATTTATTTAATAAATAATTCGACTGTAAATTTAACTGATTGAAATAATTAAATTTTAACTTCAATGTTTCAATGTTTCATCAGTTCGATATTCCGTCCAACTTTTAAAATATTAGTCATAACAACTAAGGTAGGGATGAGAATAGTAAAACACAAGTAACATGGGCCTAGCAATCTCACAAAGGTTTTAAGAGGTTTTTTTAATAGGAAATGTATTTTGTTAAAAGTATTGTTACAAGTCATAGAAAAATCTTTTAAGTTTAATGTACCGATTTATTTTAATTAATTTGAAAAAATGTATTATTATTATATTTTATATTAAAATATATAATTAAAATTTAGTTATTTTAAAACATATATAGAAATAAATTCAAAGAATCTTATTGACAATTTTATAAGTTATTTTCATAAGTTTTCAAAAATAAATAATTTTTCAAAACTTATGTTATTAAGTAGATTTGGATAAATCAATGGAAATAAATATTTTGTCTCATTACTCATTTAATTTGTTAGTCTATTTAAATATTATTTGAATTGTTATTTATATATGTACAAACGAAATCGATTTTAAAGTAGGCTAGCAGATCCAACACACCTTCGAATAAATCTCAAATCTAAAAATAAATGGTTAATACTCATTTTCCCCTCTCCCATATGGGGGGAATTGGAAAAACACCATTGTAAAAAACCATGAATTTTGTCGTTGTCTTTTAAAGATTCTTCTATTTTGCTCCCTCTTGGTCAACAGAATCTCTGACGTGGCAAATACACAGTGGTATTTATTTTATTTTTCATTTAAATTATTATCCATGTGGCATGACACGCATGAATTTATATTTGTTTGTTTGTATTTATAATTTATTTTCAAATGAATAAAAGCTGGAAATTAAACTTAATTAGAATGTTTTAGTGTTCCACTTTCACCCCGGAAATCTAGAAAAGAAATATGACTGTTGAACATCGTCTTCTCCCCCAATTTGTCACATTTCAACTAATACATAGTGAAGCTTCTCCATCTTTTCAAGATAATTTGCATTTCTTCTTTCTATTTCTTATACATTTGCATTTTCATTTCACATTTCTCAGAAAAATAATGTTTATGCTAGGTTTTAGGTAAGTTTTTGTTCAACGCTATCTTTCACCATGTGGAGAGTTTGTGCGTGATGATTTTATTTTCTACAGAGGAGATACTAAAACAATCCTTAGTGGGAAAGGTTCAGATAAATGATCGTATTTTGAAGCTTTGGCTTAGTAAAATAATGAGTTATGATGGTAGTTGTATTAGGTTGTGGAGAAAGGTTAAAGGGATTGATGAAGGTTTCTTCCATATGATCGATGATTCTAATGTTGCAGGAATTGCAAATTATTCAATTTTTAACAATATTTATGGATATATACGGGTGAAGCATAATATTGAAGACAACTCCAATAGAGTGCTCAATCCAAAATACACAGATGTTGATGAAGAAAGTGATGAAAGCAGTGATGATAATACTAGAGGGATAAGATTTGATGATAGTGAGGAAGATAAAGCTAATGTAAATAACGGAGGCTTTGTTATAATTAAGGTTGATCAACTAGATGAATGTAATAGGGTTGAAATCAATGGTAAGAAATATAAGTACAAGTTAAAAAGCAACAAAAATGGATCTACTATAAGAGCTCCTTCAAAGATCAAGTTGGTTGTTCCTCCATGTATCATTGTTGGAAGTTCAAGAATGGATGGGAAACCAAATAATTCAAGGTGTGTAGAAGATGATGGTGACTATGAAAGTGAAAAATTGGGTAGCTCAGACCCAAATGATGATGATGATAATGAAAGGATGCCCAAATATGAAAAGTTTAAAGGAGATTTGATGAACAAAGACTTTGAATTTTAAACTAGGTATGAAGTTTAACTCACTAGTTGAATTTATAGATGTTATTAGAGATTGGTCAATTTTGAATGATAGAGAGATTAGGTTTGTAAAAAATGAAAGTTATAGGGTTAGAGTGGAGGGTAAAGGTAAATGTGATTTTTTAGCACTTTGTAGTAAAGTGGGGGACAAACACACCAACCAAATAAAGAAATGTGTGGGGACACATGCATGTGTTAAGGTTTTGAATAAGAAGTATGCTAACTCTAAGTGGGTGTACAGGGTTGTTGTCAAAAAGAGGAAGTCCAATGGGAAGGTTAAGGTCTCTAATTTAATGGTTGAACAGAGAATAAAATGTTCAATAGGCATTACCAAGGGAAAAGCATGGAGGGACAAATATATAGATGAGGAAATTATTGAAGGTGATTCAACTAAACAATATTCATTGTTGTGGAAGTGTGTTGCAGAACTTAGGAAGAAAAGTAATAGAAATATTGTGAAAAGTAATGTTGTGAGACCACTTCCAACCATTCCATCAAGGTTTGGTAGTTTTTATTTTTGCTTTGATGGCTATAAGAAATGATTTGTTAATGGACACAGACCCTATATTGGAGTGGATGTGTGTCATTTGAAGACAAAATATGGTGGCCAATTACTCATTGATGTGGATAGAGATCCAAATGACCAATACTTTCCATTAGAATTTGGAGTTGTGGAAACTGAGAGTAAAGAAAGCTGGAGGTGGTTCTTACAACTACTTATGGAAGATATTGGTCAACATAAAAGATATGTATTTATATCAGATCAACAAAAGGTAGCATGCATTATGTTAATTTGTACAGGGTGGTTTTTTTGTATATTATACACTTTATGTAGGGACTGTAATGCCATGTTATGTATTTGTGAAGGGTCATGTTGTTGTTTTTGAAGATATTTTTGAGTTCATTGAGCATAGAAGATGTCTTAGACATTTATATGCAAATTTCTAAAATAGATTTGGTGGAGGAATTACCATTATAGGCTTTATGATAGAAGTTGCAAAGCCAACTTATTAATAAGCTTGGGACAAGAATGTGTGTAAGTTGAGGAAGCTAGATAAAAAGGCTTGGGAATGGCATATGGGCATTCCTACCAAATTGTGGTGTAAGCATGCCTTTAGTTTTTACCCAAAATGTAATGTCATGATGAATAATATTAGTGAGTCTTTAAATAGCATAATCTTGTAGGCTAAAGACAAACCTATTATCATAGTGTGTGAGTGGATTAGAAATTATCTAATAAATATTGTAGCTTTCAACTTAGCCAACTTGAAAATGGAAACATAGGGTCATGCATATACCTAAGAAAAGATTAGACAAGGAGGTCATAATGAGTAGGTAGTGGGTGCC